TTTCATTCACATTCACTGATATTCATTTCAATCTACGTAAATGCAATTAAGACAACGATTTGAACCAACGGTCTCATCGTAGGTACATCTGGCGAATGAAAGGGCTGAAAAGAGTTTACTTCGAGGGGAAGAAACAATGTAATTATTCTCTCGATTGAGAATGACACGTGAATTCGTCGAGCGCCTTTAGATTCAGCTTGACGGAAAGACAATCACCTGTTCAGGAAATCATCGTTGTTGGTTGTAACGAACACGTCTTTGTCGTGCACACTCGAGTGTTAATGTACAGACGTGTATACACGGGGTGGTTATACCAGGTGACTCACCTGAAACGATCGGCACAGCCGTTAACAGAGGCACTTAGGTATTCCGCACGTTCTTCGTTCGAACTCTTTACGCGGTTATCGGTCGTCGACCTGTAATTCCATTTGCTCGAAATTCTAATTAGCATAGCCTCTCTCCGATGGTCTTGCGAACAGATCAACAGTCGTTTAACTGTTTTACTTTTAAACAGCTTTGTTCATTTTCTTTTGCATTTGCCGATTGTTTCTTTAAAGGTATTTTATAGTTCCTTTCCAATGGAAATTTTGTTATTTGGTTACCTTTATTACAAGTTGCTGTCTGTTTTATAATATACAGGTGAAAGTTTGTAATTTTAATGAAAACAGAATTGTAATTTTAGGGTTGCTGGTAATCAAGATGTTGATATGCGACCTCAAATTATATTTCTTTTTAAATTGTAATTTTAGTGAAAAGAAAATTGTAATTTTGGTCAAAATAAAAATGTCATTTTACTAAGACTATTATTTCAACGTTACATTAACTTCTTTCTACTCAAACATTTGTACTGGATATTTTGTTATTTATTTATTTTATTATCAAAGCAATATCGTGTTAAATATAAATTGAACATTTTATATTTCATTATTTTATTATATTTCTTTTCTACTATTACGTCGACTCGTTTATTCATTCGTCGTATTTCTATAAAAATATTAGTTTTATTTTAAAATATAATTACTTTAAATTGAATAATTTTCGCGGCGAATGAGCATTTTTCTGCACCCTTAGTTCTGATAAAAACACTGTATAGTGTGTGTCATGTACCGAAAATCAAGAGATATGTATAAATTCGTGTTATTTTATGTTACGCATATATTTCTTCAGGCAAAGTATAAAGAGCATCAGCAGTGTCAATAATTTCCGTACAAACTGCACATAATTTTACAGCAACGTTTCATTTGTTATTCATGCCAGAATTTCCGCCCTTACTGTGCGTTCAGTTTGCTCAACTAGCAACAGTGTTAGCAATAAAATCGCGTTGCTGCACGCACCGCGTGCACGAATCGAATACATGAGTCCGTTTCGATCAGTCTTATGAATCACACGTTCTTCTTTTCTCTTTCCTAATCGACCAACTCGATTACGCAGAATTTACACTACAGAGAACAATAGTCAGATGCAATAAAAATAACGAAAGTTATATTTCAATTGTAATATCGTTCTTGGTGAAATCAAAAATCTATAGAAATTCTAATTGTTCAGCTGTTGGAAAAAAAAAGGAGAAAATTGAATTATTGTAAATTAAATTAAAATGGTTAAATTAAAGTGGTTAAAAAGAAACGGAAACTTTTATCACTGTAGAAATAAAGTTTGTGAGAATTGATACAGATATTGATCGATAATATAAACATAGAATCAATTGTGTAAAGGATATTCGTATTTGATCTATAAAACATTATTTGTCGTCTGAGAATGAGGATTTCTAGCGGTAAATTAAAGCCATCGTTGCCAACTGAACACGTTGTCCGGAATCGATACGGAACCGGAAACCCTCAGTGTCTTCTTACGTGAATCGGTTGTCGACTCAAGTAAGAAACCGGTCAATTATCGTGATATTGTATTTCATATTCGATAACTCCGACGCTATTATAAACGCGTGCTATAAATATAATTATCTATAAAA